TGGGTGGTGTAAGTATTGTCTCCCAAATCAGGATTTGTCTAATCGTCCCACTACTTTAGATTTACCATGGGTTTTCGAACTTGGTGCAAACCAGGTGAGCAACCATCCGTTTGCAAGAATTCAAGACAAACTTGTTCATTTATTCATATTACAGGACTGCCCAGCACCGTGCCGAGTTCGTCTATATCCCAGTTCTTTGCCTCTATAACGCCGACTAAACATGTTACACAGTATTCATATACTCTCGGAGCGTATCGCTAACGCCTCGACTACAATTCCCTCTCCTCCGCCTGCATCCGTGCGTATAACGCATCATCCGTTAACATCGCTCATTCAGTCCAAATGGAACGATGAGGTTGCTGGTTTATTCGGAACCGCCTGGCGGTGGGAGCAGCGTGCAGTGGAGTTTGGGAAGAAAGTTCTGTATGGCGGCGACTCATGATACCAACTGCCACTAGACTAGGCATGAGACTAATCGAAGGATGTCGGTCGTCCCTTCTAGGAATCTTGACGCCAGCAATCTGCTATGCACCGCAAACTACATACCGGCGACATGCACCTCGTACTCCATTACTTCACATCTCAATGAAACATGCTTCCTTCCAAACGTACACATTTCGGCTCTATCAGAATCTACGTAAATTATCATCTTCCATACCCTTGGTAATATTGCTGAGTATCACGGCTATGTGAAGGTGGCGGAGGCGGAGGCTTGGTTTGATACTGTGAGCCCTGCTGAGTTGGCTGTGTCTGGGAAGAATATTGCCGCCATGACTGTGGCGGAAGCGGAGCTTGCTGGCCGTATGTCTGTGGATTCTGTGGATTCGCAGCGTACTGCGGTCGTGACGGTGGTGGTGGTGGCAAGGAAAAGGAAGACTGCCTTTGTGGCGAGGCAGAATGTATTTGCTGCTGTGGAACTGGAGGGGCGGCGCGTGGTGTAGAAAACTGGGATCCGAACGCCCCCAGGTTTGCATATGGGTCAGGTGGCGGGTTTGGCGATACTGGATTTGTGTATACTGGGCGTACGGGTTGTTGTGGGGGTGGCGGGAGATTCGAATATGCCTTGACTGGCTGGGGTGGAGGGGGCGGGAATGTGGAAGAGTATGACGCCTGTGGCGGTTTTGGCGGGGGAAATACTAAATTCTGACTTCCTTGCAGATTCATAGACTTGAAGGATGAGTCCAAAGATGGGGGAGAACGCGGTGGTGGTGGTAAGGGAGGTTTTTCAGCAGGTGTCTGGGGTACCGCAAGCCGCTGCTGGATATCCGCTTGCCCAACAAGTCTGTCGCGTTCCGATCGACGGTCGGTGATAAAGGACTTAACACTAAGAGCAAGTGTAGCACTCAGGTCAGTAAGTTGTTGGTAGAACTGCAGTCCTTTCCTGAACCGAATTTCAGATACAATGAAAGGGGGAAAAGAGTACACATACGTCAACCCATCCCTGACCTCCATATATCCGTCTCTCGCATTCGAAAACCTACGTACGGTGTCCTTCTTCCGCCGCTCGCGCTCATCCCATTTCTTTGCGCCAGGTCCACGTCCAGCAAGGTCTCGTAAGTTCTTCCATAGTCCCTGGATTTCCTGCAACACGGCTTGCTGATTGTGCACAGTGGTTCCAAGACGTTGTTGGTATGTCCGGAACTTCTCGAGTTCTGCGGCGAATAGCGATTGCTCGGCACCAGGGTTACGGCGATTCAAAAGCAGCAGGTGCGAGACGTCATCAGCTTGGATCTAAGTGGGAAAAATGTCAGTTAAATCCAAACAATATTATTGTGCACATTACCCTGTCTTTCAGTTCCTTGAGTACTTCACCTCGCTCATAAGCAATTTTCTTCAACCGTCCCAGGCGCTCCTCGATTTCGGTAGTATACTGTCTGATTCTGATTCGTTCCGTTTCATCGTGCGCCTCGGCACCGATGTCAAGATCTAGCAGGCTTTCCGAAGGGGCATCACGCTGGGCGCTAGCGCGGAAGACCTCTTCGACGTCAGGTGACAGCAACAGTCGAATATCAGGTTTGACCGATTCCCAGAGCGTCGATACCTGTTGGTCGGACGCGGCAGCAGCGTCTAAAGCGCCTATATGAGATTTTAAGTCTTGCCGAATAGGCTTCGTAAAAGATGCAGATGGCTCTTGTGTCCACAGGTGGTCGTACTTGACCCGCATCGTCTCGCACTCTCTCGATTCAACATCAAGATCCCGCGAAATACCGTCCAGCTCCGCTTTAACAGCCTCCTTGAGACGAGCCATCTGTTGCAAAAGCGTGTCGATGCCCTCCCTGCCCTCCATGACGTTGATATCCTCTCGCCAACGGCGTACATCCAGGGGGATCTCTTCCTCTCCACCCAAGCTACCCTCAGCCATCGCCTTGAACCTCGCAAGTCCCGCCTGCACTCCCATCGCTTCCAGTGCACTGCGCACCTCGACCTCGGCGCTTTCTGCGTTCTCAACCTCTTTGCGCACAAGCTTTGCCTTCTCCTCAGAATACACGCTGGCGCTCTCGTGCACGCTCAATGGAATCAACTTGACGAAGATATCCGCGCCTATAACATTCTGGACATCTGGTGCACGATACACCTCTTGAATGGAAATATGCGTGGCAACAACAGCTTTTTCGATAGCAGGCAGTGCGTCTGCAGATGGAAGGACAGCATTGTAGATGAGATCATTATCGCGCACCGCTTCGGTCTTGCGGTCTGTGCTCAGCTGAAGCTGTACCTTTGTGCGTTCGGAGATAGAAGCCCCGGCATCTGCGGGAAGCGTAGGTGATACGTGGGCGAATAAAGCAGTGAATGATGCAGCAGAGCGATTGGCTTCTTTTGCTAGAGATTCAGCGAGAGTGAACCGTACGAGGGCCTCGCCGTGGGCCCCCCGCTTTATTGTCAACTTGACCGCGATAGTATTGTGCGACAGAGCCAAAGTGTTTGGATTTTATCTGCGCGATATATCAATGCTAATCTCGTGCTTCGGAATATGAACATACCTGGATGAGAGTGATCCAGTTGCGATCGAATATGCCCTTACCCATGAAATCTTTCACCTCCTCGCTCAGGGAGGTGTACATGGAAGCAGACTGGGAGGCAATCTTGGCTACCAACGCAGGTGCTTTCTTCTCGTCGATGCACTTTTCCAAAAATACCTCTGTAGCCTGCGCCATGATGACTCCCACTAGAAACTTGATCACCTCCCGGCTGAGGTCAGTCGAGGGGGCATGCAAGAAATTCTCATTAATATATGTGAGCATGCCTGCGCATGTCCTGAAGTAGTAAAAGGCGAGTTTGAGTCCCTCTGGATCGGATCTGTTCTGGGAGGCAGCAATGGCGGAATGCGTAGCCGCGATCTGAAACAGAACTGAGGCCTTCTCATACGCAATAGCCGTCTGCATAGTCAACTTGTTCGTGAAAGCATCATTCCACGGGAAGTTGACGCGGATCTCGGGGAAGCGCATCTCTAGGATCTCGAGTTGCCCAAAGTACTTGTAGAGCAGATCACGACCTGGGAAGCAGAGTTGTGAGTATCCTAAGATTGTGATTGCTTGAGCGACGAACCTGTCATATCGCTGCCCGCTCCTTTTACAGCGTCTTGTCTGCAGCGTTGCAGCGCTTGGCACTCTTGTGCGTAATTGTCTGGGTTCTCGCCGAAGGACTTGGCAATAAGATTGCATATTGGAGCTGTCCAGTCGACATCCCCGGTCGTCTTCTTGGGGATCGCTATCATTGGCGACTGGTGCGCCATGTCTGAAAATTGTACCTTTGAATTTGTCTAGATGTACACTCAGAGCCTCCCGCAGAGTCTGCGGATCGTGTCAAGTAGTAATTCCAGTGGGCTATGATTCCGTGAAACTGCGCATATGGCTCGCGGGATCCGGAAGTCGTTGCCGAATCCATGCTATGCAATAATGGATTGTTGACCCCCACGAGAGGGGTTGCTTCCTTGCCGTTTCCGTCCGTTGTAGCTCGGGACCGTCATCTCATACCAAAGCCATGTCGTCTGAAAAAGCGTCATCAAGCGAGAACATTGTTAGCCAGAAGGTATGTTTTTATAGTCAAACACAATGTTCAAAACTAACCGTCTTTCAAGTATGACAGGTGTAGTATGTGCTTTAATTATCTGAGTTGGAAGAGTCGACTGACTATGACCACAAGTGGCCGATTTCTTGGTAAAGGCGTGAGTCTTGCCTTGCATTTGTAGCTGTTATAAACATCTGAGAATTGCGCAGTGGTGTAGGCTTCAGCGTCGGGGTTGTCGCATCCGTCATTCTTTTCCGAAGTTCGTGTCTTGCTTTATTTTCTCCGCATATTCTGACCCGATACGTTACAGGACGAACATGGCCTATTGCCCTTTCAACGGGCTTCGGTATGGGTGCAGCATACGCAGACTGCGATCGTTCATTCAACCCCGCACGCGTCTCTGGAACACGCATAATATCTCAGACAGACGAGAGCAAATGATGTCGCTTGACACATCACTCGGTAGTATCACGGAGGGCACTGCACTAAGGCAACAATATGATCGTGAGCCTCGAGGACTTGGCATTATTTTACATAGAACGCCTTCGCACACCCTCCCACCTTCCATAGATCACCACGCAAATGTTCATTCTCCTTTTGACCAGCGTTCACTCCCGGCATGGGAGCTTTCGGGCAGTATTTCATTGGTTGTAGAAGGGGGTTGTGGTGTCTCCCTAGGCAATGTTCTTCGAGGTTTTCCGAGCGCGAGACGTTCGTAGAGCACGTCTGCAAGCAATCAAAGGTGAGATGAGTGACCGGAATGTATGTAATATTGAAGAACGACGAACATGCTGTTGCTGCCATGATGGGAACCGTGACGATGATGGTGCGGAGCCTGCGAGCTTGAGGAGGTAGTTTTTGTGCCATTGTTTAACTCTCAGACTGCAGTAGTACCGCTTCAGTAGTTATGAAGTTTGAGCACCTGTTGAGCACCAGCCTCAAGTTGTCCAGAAGGAAATGGTAACTTAACATTAAGTCGTTCCACGAGGAGATCTCTGGGGTCCTCATCATTTGAACAGGGTGTCCAGAGTCCCTAGACGTGCTAACCCTCTGTCATCGACAACACATCACATCCATTCTACGCTTTTGTACGTGAAGCACCATGGCTTATGTCGCTGTCGACGCGGACGACGTGAGTGACATTGTTCTGCTCCTTTGGTGTTAAATAAGATTCCTTTAATGGTTCATAGCGACTAGAAGAAGGACCAGAGGGTCTCGAGTTTAAATGTGAGCGCGTTTACCTTGAAGTGCGCAATCAAACATTCAACCCAAGCAGCTTTTCTTGGAGCGGACGCGAGAGCAGACCAACGAACACAGTCCGGGGCTTCAAATGTTGACCGAGGTACATCGAGAACTCCGCCGTATCTTCTCCCCTGACGTGTACCCAATCACAGGATATCTTACAGACCACACCACGCAAAAAAGTCCATCTGGGTTCTGGACAGTCGAATACTATCAGCCATACTTTGACGTTGATACCTCAACCGTCTTGAAGCGATGCTATACGACGCTCCTCCCCACTTCCCCTTCGTACCTGACGATTCTTACACCCAGCGCAGACCTATACGGCCCTTTCTGGATCCCAACCACGCTTATACTGGCGTTATTCCTATCTTCGTCCCTTGCAGCAAGCATCTCGTCTTACCTTTCTGACCCAGGAGCTGCGTATGAATATGACTTTGGCCTACTTAGTCTGGCAACAACGATCGTGTATATATACACGTTTGCAGTACCGGTTCTTCTGTGGCTCACACTACGCTATATCGGCGTTGGTGAATGGGGCGTGGCAGAAGCACTTGGGGTTTGGGGTTACTCATTATTTGTCTGGATACCGGTTTCGGTAAGTACATGAATGTCTCAACTTGGATGCAGCGTTTATGAGTAACCGTTGTCCTGTAGATCCTATGCGTCATACCCGTCTCTATTTTACGTTGGGTTCTGGTGGGCATCGCATTTAGCTTATCAGGGTACTTCCTGGTAACGAACGTGTACCCAATATTGGCGATGGTATGGTCATATCCCTCGCCTGATCCTGATTGCTGACAACTCTCTTAGGCCGATGCGAAAGCCACTCGCCTACTGATAGTCGTGGTCGGCGCACTACATGCTGTGTTAGCGCTGACATTCAAGGTGTTGTTCTTCAGCTACTACGTTGTGCATGATATTGGGCCTGGAGCAGACCCCGTACGGAGGTTTCTATAAAATGCAGCTGCGCTGGTCTTTGATTAGTTTCATTGCAATGCATGATTTTCATTTTCGTGAATATCGTGAAACAACCAAAAGTGGACCACAATAGCAACGACCGTCGCCATCCGATATTTGATATATTCAATGCCAACTCTGCCACACATTAACGAAAGATTACGTTTACCGGGAAATGGTGAACACAATGTGAACGGCGTCAATCATGATGTCGTACATGCGTTTTGAGGTTTGCGGGATAGTTAGTCGTTCGCGGGGTTTGCAATTTCAGAGGCATGTAGATTTCGTCGAGCCTGCCCCAGATACATCTTTCCGTGTTCCACGAATAGCGAATTTCGATAATTTCACCTCAAGCTATGGGTGTCTCCAAGTAAGAGTTTGAGTATCCAGGGCGTCAACATATACATCATCCAATATATAGGAGCATGTAGAAAATCATGAACGCATCATAATGTCGACAGGGGTGAAATGTGGGGAACAACAACCTAAGATGATATGATCCAACGTCTTCTTGGCAGATTTTAAGTAGCTTTATGACGTGCTGCCGCTTCCTGCGCTGCTTCCGCCCAATCTTTCTCGCGCACCCCGAATTCAACCGTCAGTACAGTCTTGTTGAAGCGTGTCATAGTCAATCCATAGGGTTGACGGATGCGTGACTCCCAGCCTTCTGGAATACGCTCATGAAGAACAATGCTGCGCAGGTCATCCACACGACCTCCAAAGATTGTGAGCAGTGTCGAGGAACTGATGCAAACGTTGAGTGTGTACTTGAAAACGGATGATGTAATGGCACATACTTGGAACTACCGAAGATTTTGTGGAAGAAGCTGAGCGAAAACTCCTTGTTTATTGCACGCGCTACTGCGCGACGCTTGCCGAGAATCCTGGAGAGATCTCTGGTGGTAAGGAGATTGTTGCCGTTCGTGTCCTTGCCGGTAGCCGACTCAAGTAACTCCTCAATAAAAGATATTTGTTTCACCGATTGGTTTGGTTCAAGGGCAGTGTCAAGACCTAAAGATAATTTATTCGGCATGTGAGAGCCAGACAAGTATGGTAAATCACTCACGGAAGAGGGATGCGTCATGTTCGATACCATTGTGTAGGTCGAGTTCTTCCAAATCAAAGGTATCCTTGCTGTAGCTTTTCTTGAGCATGCGAGCGGCAAAATGCGGGACAAAAGAGCAGAAGGAAGGACCAAAATTGTACGTTGCCCGGATTTGGTGGTTAAGGTCGACAAATGAGATGTTGCGGCCACTGCGCGAGAGGATGCCTGCGTTTCAATGTATGAGCCACGTAAATTGTCTGTGAGATCAGGACTGACCGTGATTGGCCATCGCATTGAGTGCTGGGCATGAACAGCGGGAGTCACCTTCCTGAGGAGGCCTAAACTCGGGCCAGAGCCCTCCATAGCCTGGATGGCCCTCGGGGGTGACGTGACCGATACGGCGTTTCCTATGTACAAGATTGAGGAGTGTGAGGAGCACATCCCAAGACATGATCCCAGCATCGAAGAAAAAGTTAGACACGCTGGAGAAGAAGCCCATTTCACTACACTTGCGCCAAGGACAGAGATCTGAGGTCGGGAGTAGAATCGATATCCAGCTTATTCGCTAGCAAAACCCCTGCAGGTGCCATGAGGGCCTTATAATATATAGTCTGACAAGGTTACGTATGACGAACAGGGTAGTGCCTCGAGGCGAGCTTTTTGTCCCTTTTACGGACTCCCAGAAGATCATAGAGAGTGATATTAGCGTAATGCGCCGCCTGCATTTGGTTCGAACCGGTTACTGTGGCTATTAAGGGGGGCCTCGAGGCTTGCCGTTCGATTTAATGAAAGAAATCCAAGCGCCGGATACTAGATACAGCGGCATAACAGCGGGGGCCATCGAACCGAGTCACGAGAGATGCCGGCGGCGGCGGCATGTCACTCTTTTGGTGCGAGGCAGGCCACCACAAAAGTCTTTGCCACGTCCGCTGCACAATTGTCAATCGGTAAGTACTGATGCACATGACCCATCCATGGAAAAGTTTAATTATATCGTAGTCACGAGCCTTCACGTGTGGGATCTGAAATTCGACCCGATCTCGGACCTTTACTAGGTATCCATAAGTAGACTAGCAAGCTTCGTTACTAGGCGTGCTCTTCCCTTCCGGGCAACCCTCACGTTAGTGGACGGGTACTATGTGGACCCGAAGCCTCAAGCTTTAAGCATTGCTGATTGCATAGTTCGTTCTAGTTCGCTCTTATTCAAGCTGCCGTAGCAACTCGATATTACATGCTCATCTAGTAATACACCCGGTGAATGGAAGTTGATTCAAACCCTAACCCCGTCTTTTTCTCTGTATATGGAAACCCCTATTCAACATATTGTGTATATTACCTACGAGGCGCCCTCTTCCCTCTTCGCCTTTATGTCAATGGAAGTTCTTGATCTGACACCACCAGAGCGGCGGGACGAGCCAAGACATTGGGCATCAGAATGAGATAACGAGGAGCTAGTATGTAGTAGCCATTGATGCCGAGCCGAAAACCACTTTGGCAAACAAATAATGACAAATAATGTAAAAAGTCCGGGACAATGGCGGCCAGGCAACCCCCACTTATAAGTTATATCATGTAAATCAGAGAGAGGTGCACACACCTCCCAATAAATTATGTTCGTTCACACAAGACCATGCCCGGACTAGAAATTCACTTGCATGTCAGTATGGGGAACAGAGCCTCCTGGTGACCGGTGACCGGTGAAGTTTGGAGCGTGTCCCAAACGCAAATTCGTTCCTGACAGGCCTAAATCAGTCATACTTGACAACGGGGATGTTGAAGTGGCCCTGCAGTCCGCAATCCCAAACTCTCTAGAAAGTGAAAGATCCGAATCTTCGAGGTCTCTGCTTCCCTCCGGGAGACATAATTGTATCAGGATTGAACGTTGAACAACTAACACTGTCGCAGACTGGCAGTGTCCTTTCGGATTTTTCCGGCGTTACGGTAATTGGTGCAGGTCAGTTAGGAAAGCTTGCAGTGCGGCATACCCGTGATGGGCCGAACCCGAAGCACGGCGCACACAGCATAGGATTTAGAACCACGTACTAAACGAAATCCGCGGCATTTAGTAGACAGTGTCTGCTTATCGCACAAACTAGACCTTTCGATGTCCGGAGGTAGTGGTGTGGGTAGAAGCCTGCCATTCTGCTAGCCGGTTTGGCAGGACCGGTTCCGCCTGGCAGATGCGGCAGAATGTCAAACTACAGGGGATCACCATCGCTAAACAATGGGAGAGCAATTTTAAAAGGCCAAACTGCTTATCGACAACCTCAAAGTATATAACCTGTGCTGCGCTGATGGATTGGCATGCTGGGAAAGTCTCGCAGTCAGCGCCGGCAGACATGCAATCACCCTCTTATCTATTGTTTCCCCTTTGAAAATTTTGCCAAGTGGCAGAAGTGGCAGAATCACCATGCCGGTTATGCCGGCACAATTGCCTGATAATTCTGCCACCAGCACTATCCGGAGGTAAGAAACCGTCATGTTGTAATGCTTGACGTTTCAGTTGGATCAGAATCTGGCTTACTTGCCAATTGTTTGCATGTTCAACTCCCTGAGCCCCATGGTGCCTTGAGCTCCGCAAGGAGTACACCAATGACGTATCCAAAGGTGACCGGTCACCACCTGCCATGAAGGGTGGTGGCCATGGATATCATTTTCTGGTATAGTACAAAGTTTAAACCTCTGTCACTCAACCCTGGAAAGCGTGTATTGAACACGAGGGCAGGAGCTCAAAATTATCCTAGATAGTGGCCAATTAGCCAAGAACGCCGATGTGCGGTAAGCCGCAGCGCACAGAAGGGGAACTTTGACTTCACCTTCAAGCCCTTCGTGTTGATGTGCACAACGTCATCTCTGTCGCGTAGCAAGCTTCCATTTCTCAAGATGAGATTCTTCAGGAAGTTCAGGTTCTTCCGCCTAGTGGCAAGTTTCCATTCGGAACGGTGATTAACGATTACTCGTGAGTCGTGACGCAATCTTGGATTCTTGGGAAACCGAGAAATTCAAGACGAGCAGCATATTCCTTTCAAGTGCAGATTCGCACGTTCTCGTTGAATGATCTTCCCGAACCGCAGTCTGAGTTATGGATGATACTTAACTGGAAAACTTTCCGAGGAAAAGCTGAAGTCATCGCAGGGCGTGAAGGCGAATTCCTTTTCACGGACAGACTATCACGTAAAAGGAGGCTTCGGTGCAATGACCGAGTCGGCCTTGTCAAGATGGACCTCCGAGGATCTACTACACACCACAAAAATGTTGTGAGCAGGTTTCGAACCAACCCCAAGATCAACAGATTTTGACTCTGTTGTGGTAACCACTCAGCTACGACCAGTTAGATGGACCTCGGAGGAAACCGTCAAGGAGTCAATGTCAAGGTGTGTTCCGATAGAAAAAAACGTGTCGCTCGGCAGGTTTTGAACCTACACAATCCAAGAGAAACAGATTTCGATTCCGTTCCGGTAGTACCACTTGGCTAAGACCAGTTAAGATACCCGTCCGAGGAAACCATCAATGAGTCAACGTCAAAGTGTGTTCCGATAGAAAAAAACCTGTCGTTCGGCAGGTTTTGAACCTGCACAATCCAAGGTAAACAGATTTCGATTCTGTTGCGGTAGTACCACTTGGATAAGACCAGTTAAGATGCCCGTCCGAGGAAACCATCAATGAGTCAACGTTCAAAGGGTGTTCCGATAGAAAAAAACTTGTCCCTCGGCAGGTTTGGAACCTGCACAATCCAAGAGAAACAGATTTCGATTCTGTTGCGGTAGCACCACTTGGCTAATACCAGTTAAGATCCAAGTCCGACGAAGCCGTCTATGAGTGAATGTCAAAGTGTGTTCCAATAAGGAAAAAAAAAAAAGGCTTGTGGTAAGTGTAACCACCTAGCCACGAGGCCGGTCAAGATGGACCTCCAAGGAAACTATTAATGTGTGAATCTTCAACCTGGGCGTGTTCTGACAGAAGAAAAGCTCAGTGGTCATCGTAGGTTTCGAACCTGCACTGGCAGTCCAATACTTTGGCCAGGGCGAAGTTGACACGGACCTCCGAGGAAGCCATCCATGAACGAATCTTCAAGTATGACGGCCCAGAGGAGACAATAATAAATTGAATCATTTTTGTATAAAATATTTACATGTAACACGCAATGTTAAACTGATCATGATTCATGAAGGTCCTACTTCTGAGGATGCCTTGCTACAGACCAGGATTCTTTCTAGTCGGGTGGCTGCCTTTGAAAACACATGTCAAGATCTTTCAAGTTGCACATGCTAAACATCAGTGGCAAGGCATCGAACTCTCCGCCAGCAATACGAACTCGCGACTGTAGCTTGTCGCATCGTCCAAACGATCCTTAAAGTTAGCTCTGGAAAAAATGCACTTTGCGTTTCAGCGCCATCATTATTATTAACCATCTCTCGTTTCTTTCGGTACATTCATGCCCCCATCGTTTTTTTACTAAAAGATGCTTGCTGCAGCATATATGAATTCCCTTTATTGTGGTCAAAAACCATATATACAATAGTTTCTACTCTGCCTGTTGTGAATAAGTTTCAGCCTGTCATTCTACAGTAGACTCGATGTATAGTTGTGGAACATTACAAAGTACTGCGACGGAAATTGGGACGTGCTACACGCCCTCTCAAATCTACATAGGAACATAAATAAGTACCACGACGAAAAAGTCTCCCTCTCCCTGCAGAGTACCTGACCAGTGTCGATCATATCGAGCATCTCCCCGCCTACATACTGCTGCTAGTTGTCACATGCACGCGCTCCTGGAAAACAATTGAAGTCATGCCTGCATCGGAACCGGTCACGAGCGTGGCGTGATGTTCTCGAATGCTAAGGATCAAGCGTGGTCCAAGCACAAACATTTGGAGGAGAAATAAAATTTGAGAAAAACCAGTATAAATTTGATATTCCGGGGAATCTAGGTTCTGTGAAAATGATGAACCATGTTCGCACACAGAGGTCGGTGATCAACATACCCCTGAAAACGTTGGAGAAAAAAAAACCGCCAAGCTGGACGCAAGAAATAGCAACAAAACTAGTACATGCGAACTTTCAGTGGAAAAAGAGAACAGAATTGACATTGCGAGCTCACCTCGCAAAGTAAACGATGTGACTTTTCATTAACACCGTGAAGCAGTCCTGCACAATCCCTCCTGCCGACCATCGTCGCAGTTCACGGAAATGTTTTACAGCACTCCAGACTGCAAAACACAATGCGACGACCTCCCATACAGCGTCGACTATCCAAGCGAGGGAAATCAGGAGCGAGCCATTTCTCTCATAGTAAGTGGTACACTGATAGGTGCCGGAGAGAATGAGTTCCTCTGGTACTCGTCAATGAGATTAAATTTTTCATCCATAATTAAGCTTACCCGCTACAATATATTTTGTTGCTATTGCGACAAATATTCCGTCGGCGATGAAGACAGCCAGGAAGATGCCAACGAGAACTATCAGGACCTTTTTGGACTGTTGATACATGGCATTTAACCGAGCGATCATGATGACTTGTATGATCAGGTCAATATCACTGACATATTGCAGCAGCGTAACTCACCGCCCAGTATTGCATTTATGACCACAATCGTCCAACTTATTGCGGATCGTATGATATGGCCTAGCAAAATCAGTCGGTGATCAGCCTCGCAGGATCACAAATTCGAAACAAACTCACAGCTGTGGCAGTGAATAAATTGAACCAACAGGTTGGTCAAGAATCTCACTCACCCCTACATCAAAGTGCAGTTGATTAGATGAGCATGGCAGGTTGATGCAAAATACCCACTACATCAGTCACCGAGATTGTCGGAATAGCAGCTGTATGCCGTCGGTCAGAAGAAACAAACATGGTGATTCGTGAATGTGGGGGGACATACCCAGAATCTGGATGCTGATTGTAAGTGATGGTTTATTAGCGCAGGACCAATTGCGTAGCCTTCCACACGTACACAGCAGCTAATATTCCAATATAGCGCACCTAGGATATTGTCAAGTCAGCACAACTTTCCAACCAACACAAGACACGTACACTAAGATACAAAAAGGTCATGAGGGACCAGCGTTGCCTCTGTCGCAAATTGTTAATATTTTCACGGAATTCTTCCGATGACTCACCCAAACCAATTCGACCTATAAAACGATTCTTAGTGAGATAGCTGCTCTAGTAATGACGTCAACATACCTCTTGTCCGAACGTCAGCACTGGAAATACCGTAAGGATATCAGCAGTTGTTGAAAAATTTCTCGCTCACCCCAATCATAGACTAACCCAGTAGAGGCGGCAACTGCACAGCCAAGGTTAGATCGACATATCATTGACATCATCGGACTGGCTCGCCACGAACCCACGAAATAACTGTAAATACGCCATGAATCAATGGACGGCCACCAACTAGGATCATTTGAGACCACGGTCATACTACTGTTAGAGAATGGGCGAGTGAGAGGCGACCTTGGGCGGGACGTATTTATGGGGGCGTGATATATATAATAACTTGAAACTGCATCATGTCACGTACTGCGGAAATTAGACCGGGATCATCTAGTGGAGCGTTCAATTGCAAGTTCGTGGTAGATATATTCTTCCAACTCCTTACATAACTACTAGGCGTCGTTGTCGGCGATGACCTTGCTTTATTTGCAATTGTTATCACAAATCATCTTTGTTCTCAACGACATTTGGAAATTGTGCCATTTCAAACTGTGTCGCATCTCGTCTTGTGGTCCTGGTTACAGCTTCACGGCTGTCCTCGTAGATGCTTAACAGCCTAATAATATCGCGTTTCACAAGAAGACATCAACGTGGGGGACGCATCAGTAAAATATTTTGAACTATATAGCGCTTTGTAGCAAGGGGAAGCACCATGACAGTAGCAAAACTCCGCTACAGTAGCTCGGGTAGCACGTCGTAGCCAACTAAACTAAACCATTTGAAGTTAAACCTGATTTTGATGTTTGCTAACTGAACACGCATCTCCGCTTTTCATATATGTCACAGTTAATGATCAACTGATCACATCGAACTTTAGATACCAAGATGAGATATGATTCCCGCTATGGCAGTAGTCATCAGGAAAAACCCCAAATCATCAGAGTCATAGTGGTAGCTAATAGATATAGCGCTACATAGGTGGTGTAGTACTATGTAGGCAACCAGGCTACTATATAGTACTACATACCTGGTGTAGCCAAAACCAGGACTATGTAGAGCTACAGGAGGCGGTAGTAGCAACCTGTAGTCACTGTAGCGCAGTAGCAGTAGCAGTAACTTATTCTAATCACTACCAGTGGAAATACAAAATGTCTCAAGGTCAATAAAAGTATTCAAATAAAAGTCATTTGCCAATGGTAAGCTTATATCCAAGCTTGCGCAGCTTGATGGGGTCTTTAGTCTAAAGGTGTGTCTGTATGTTTTGTATACTTACCTTCAGGAGTACCAATTTGACCGGTCATATGTTTTTTTGCAGTTTGTTGTGCTCATCTGCTGGCAACAATTCAACATCATCCACCCAGCCTTCATCGTTGTCTGCCAATTCATTGTCTGAGCCTTGCGAAACGCTTACATCTTCATTCTCATCATCTTTCCTCAGCTCATCAATCTCATTTGCTACCTCCGCATCCTTGCCATCCAAGGCACTGTTGGCTTCTTTTTTTGCCACATCAAACTCGCGAATGAGGGACTTTGCTACGAGATTGATGGTGTGCAGAAAGCACCATGTGTGACTGGCGCTCCCTGCGAACTCAGGCACCAATGTAGCGAGATCTGTGATCATAACATTGTTGTTGGATGCATTGTTGCACGTAACACTCAGGATATATGGCTCATGATGTTAGCTAGTAAGTCCTTTTGTTATTTTTAGATTGCTACCTTTTCTGATACCCCAAATTCCTCTAGCATGCTTGCAAAAACAGTTGTGAGCTCCTCACCAGTATGTGACTGTGTGCATTAACATGTCAATATATGCACAGTCTGAGTAAGTTATTTCTGTACTGTCGCAACCTCAATAATATCTAATGGGAAGCTTAGCAGGACACCTTGGTGCTCCAGGTGGACTGAGAATGCCATGAATGCACGGTGGTTCATTGACGTCCATCCGTCAGTGGTAAAGTTCATTTTACCGTCATATTCCTTGTGAGTTGGGTTAGCCTTAGTATGATCAATTGTGAAGAAACTAACCTGCGACATTTTAGCAATTTGTTGGCGTGTACGTGCGAACATGAGTTTGACATCACATGCAACAGTTGTAGGGGAAGGTATGTAGTACTCCGGCCTTCCAGTCTTCATCAACGACTGAAATGCTCTGTCTTTCACAATCTAGAATGGCTGGAGGCTTTCTGACACCCAGTGGACTATTTCGGCTCTGCAACATTGTCAGTTCCCTCTCGGGTTCTATCACAAGCTCAATTACGCACTTTGTCTCAGTGCGTGTATGCTGACGGTGAGAGTATGTAACCTTCCCCTTCCCCTTATGTTCGAAAGACTCTGTGATTGACCCGTCTCATAGGATACTGGTAACGATTTTTGTCTGGACCTCCTTTGCATCCTTTGCATCATCAGCAGCAGTCAGTGCAGCATTCCCCCAGCAGGACTTGACATGCTTCTGCATGTTGCCTGTCGACCGTGCATCTTTTTTGTTGAGGAACCTTCGAATGGTTGTTTTGCATCCACGTGCATGACATTTAAATTCATGTGTGTGGCGCCCATTAATTTCAACAATGCGAGGAGTAGGATTAAAGAAGGCATACACCGGTGAGGTCCATTCTTTCATTAATCGTTCTATGCTTTTGTTAACAATGTGATTTTTAAATTAATCATTCATCTTACTTAGCTCATCTTCTGGAGTCTCGACATCTGGACTTGATTCCTGCTCTGGTATGTTATCTTCATCTTTGCTTGTATCCTCAACCATGGTCACATTCTGATATGCTTCTGCTTCTTCAATTTGAACAGCAGTGCGACGTGCCTGCAATGGAGGCTTTGGGATTATGGCAGGGGATGGAGGCTCTAACTGTATATCCTCGGCAGGCCCATTCAATTGGGTAGGTTTTAGCCTTTTTGATTGACCAGCCACCTGATCCGCGACAGTCTTCCTTTTGTTCAATGAGTCAGTGAGCCTCTCCTCCATGGCTGCCTTGGCCTTATCAGTCAGCTTGGAAACTCGACGAGCAGTTTTTGAGAACATATTTATATGCATGATGAGATTGGTGGTTTGTTTTCGTTGAGGATGTGGTAGTGTGTTAAGGTTTAGTTTGACAGACTGTACAGTTGTGCTTCGTGGACTTGATGCGGAGTTTATGTTTCGTTCAGTTGAGTACTATATACATCATTTCATGTGTCAACCCGAGCTGAGGGTATGGGTAAGGGTACAGGTGGTGCAAGGTCAGACCCACACCCGCACCTGAGTGGTACCCACACCCGCCACCCACACGGGTTTTCAAAACCCGTGCATATGCCTATTTGCCATCTCATAGACGTTCGCACTCATCCACCCAGGGTCAACAGATGGTCCCATCTTTGTAATAAGGTGACACAGACAAACAATTTCATCAATATGTATCATGGCTGAATTCCGATGCAGCTGATGAGTCAAACGTGACACTTGATGCAGGACAGAGGAGGGATCTGGCTCCCGAAGTGGCGTGAACCACTCGATGTAAGCTAGTGCTTGGGAATACGTCCCAACTTGAAACTGACGAGGCAGGGTGAATATAATATGAACTTGCGCAACTCGCCCACCTAGTACAGTATCCATTTCAGTTGTGACATTTAGGCCTTGAATAGTAACAGTTACTTACCTTTGAATGTCCATAAATTCGATGTCTGAACACCATCGCTTATCAGCACCATATCAAATCTAGTGGGGGACCCAGGTTTCCAGCCAGGACCAGGCTGCACTTCAGGTGTTGCTCTAATGCTCCACCACTTTGGTGAGTTACTGACACATGGATCAGGGGGAGTAACAATGACAACTTGTCAATAAACATCAAAACTGGTCATGTGGACCGGGGACAGTGTTATTGCGTGGCATGTGCTTGTGCAGGAAAGATTTGAGGGCTGGGAGAAACATGGTTGCACCATGTGTGGTGATGAGATGCTGAACAGACTGCTGAGGGTGTGCAGGAGTCTTGGCGAGAACATAGACAATAGGAAGTGTTGGACTTGTGTTTGTAGGGGCAGTGCTGCATGACTCAGATTGCAACTCTTCAATCTCAGCGTCTGAGTCTGAACCCAAGTCATCTCTGCAGTTGGGATCTGTGTGACTGGAACTGTGGCTGACTGAGATCGTTCTGACAACCAATCAAGGTAAGAACTGCACAGGAACACTGCTTCCTGGCATTGAAGCCATAAGGCCATTTGCTCCTTGTAGTCACACTTGTTGCTGGCACGATAGGTGTCTTTAGTGAAATCAATATGTAGTTGTTCTGGAAGCTCAGTGTTGAAACTGTCGGTGGAACCAAATAGAGTGATTGACTTAATGAAGTGTGAGATTTGATGTAATTTAGGAATATTGAAGTGTTTGCAAACTTCAAGCTCTTGCAGGATGTCCTTGTTGGTGTGAAACACTGCAAGAGCACTCTCCAGACCATTGAGGGATTTAGCAGTATGCATTTGAAGCTGTGCGTAATATGAAAAGTCTAGAATGGCTCATGCAACCACTAAGACTTGACTAGCAAATGAAATTAATTGTGCCAGTACAGACTTTGTTGAGCATGACTTAAAGCATACCTTGGGACAGCACCAGTGAGCAGACCAATGAAAACACATTGCATCTCTTTGTGCTCTGTACCTGTCCACTGTCTCATGGTAGAAATACATTTCTTGAAGTGCTGAAGACCAGGGTAATCTGGCATTGCTTTGAAGCGTGTGTCCATTTCATCTTCACCGACAATTTCAAGACACCATTTGACTAGGTGGTCTTTGAAGACGCCTTTATGGATTTGGCGGAGGAGGTCAGGCGTGAAGGCAAGGAAGATATCGGCATGAGGGAGATTAGCCCAGAATGGATTGTAAACAGCACATAGCCCATTGTCATTAAATTGAATTGGATGCTGGCCATTCTTCCGCTTCTCTAATATCTCTTTTGTCACCTCAGGGTCCCACATCAGCGAAGTCAGTGGATTGCCTCGTTCATCTGCAGTGACCAAACACTTTGGACACTGATGTGACAATCATATTGGCGCTAGGCATGTATACCTGCATAAGCACTCAATAGGTGGACCAAAGTTATCCCTCATATCATTCACTACTCCCCTATCAGCAGTCTTCACTTGTCTCAGCCATAACCCTTGTCCGACGCTATTCCGCACTTTCCCGCACTATGCGTGCACACTCCCACAGCGCTATTCATGCTCCCGCGACTTATCTGATGCTATTCCCGCGCTTATAGCGCTATTGGAACTACCAGCAATATGTTCTAGGTGCATTAGTGCATGTCTGCTCTATCTAGTGCTTGTTCCCGCACTTAGCACTTATCCAGCGCGCTGTTCTCGTGCTCTAGGATCCACCCAAAATCTCGGAACCCATCCATTGTCCATCCTACCTCATTGGTATGTAATTTGCCTTGCCTTGAGTTGTAACAAGTGCTACAGTCTTATTACATGTATATCCTATCCCTTCCGAGTCCGAGATGGTATAGTTTACTAGTATAAGAAGCCTATGGTGATTACTTCAACATTACTTCCCTTCAACTGTAATTCCTTCTCCTTAGGTTTTACTTAGAAGTAGTCACCCTTTAGTTGCGCTCTATGGCCCCTATTTGACTTTCCTTACCCTTGCAATCAATACCCTTGATCTCTCTCGCTATCCATTACCTTCCTTTGACTCAGTGTCCGTTTCTTGACTTCTGCTCTTTCCCATGCATTAGCACTCTATCTTGCGACGTGCTATTCCCATGCTTTAGTACTTATTCGGGTCTTTCGATCTTGAGTTGTCCTTAGTAGCTTTTCCCTTGGGTTGAACGTTCTTGCATCTTTGTTGCAAGTATAGCAGCATAGGCAGAGCATTAGACATATACTGGCTGAGTACCTTAACAAGTGCCTAGTCAGGTTGAGTTTTTCACACCGATTTTCTTTACAACACCCCACAAGACATTGCTCTGGAAAATTGGCTACATAAGCAGCAAGGATGGGGTAGACTCGACAGATCAACGAGTCAGCACAGACCATCTCAACACCATTTTGACCTGCAGCAACGAGGGGTTGGAGGAGCAGGGACATACAATGGTGGAAGAGTCGGTAACTGGCAAGGGAGCACACATCAGATGTAAAGCAATCAAGCTTTCCTGCAGGTAAGTATCCAATAAGGACCATTGCATGTGCTGATGTTTGCCGCCTCTTCTCTTTTGTGATGTTGCCAATGGACAGGTACATGGGTCATGCTGATTTATTGCCTCGGAATTGCAACAAACATGTTTTGTCTGGTGCGAGAATGATCAGTGTGATGGTTGCACCTTTTGGCAACTGTTTCTGGACACCATACATAGGTCAGTACTTGTCATTTTCGCTTTTTTGGGGGTACTTACTTGCTTGTCACACCACCAGTCCACCGTCCACATGTCATCAATTACTCAGTGAAGTCCTGCAGGATCCTTGTATGCTCATGCAGGTGCGTACACCATGTGATCGCGGAACAATGGATTTCCAAGGAGGTCTTTGACGCACTCCACAGGATCGCGCATCCAAAGTTCAATGTTTTCATGCAACATCTGGCCCTTCTCATCTGTTTTATTTCCCTGGACATTAACCTTTTTGCAACTCCAGGCAGCTCCATGTGGAAGCTTGTTGACTTTCTAGGAGGAAAGATCAGTTATTGTGAAATGAAGGTTTCGTTTGGTTTTGTGTCTACTGCTATGGTTAGTATGAATTCTTCAATTTTCAACACTAAGCTTACTATAGGTAATTTTTGAAACTCATCTGTTCGAGTCTGGCCAAGGCTTTTAACAAGCCATTTGGCGAGTCCCCATTCCTCCCTTGTGACCTGAAGTTAATTGCCTTGCAGACACAACAGACATAAATTGGTACGTACACATCATAAAAGGGAGCCCATTTGTCCTCGCCCATACCCTCCTTATACTGATGAAACCTTTCAAAGCTGATTTGTCCTTCACACAGTGTTTGGCCAGCGTCAACACATTGTTCAAAATATCACATGTGGTCCTCATCTTCAACCTCCTCAATGGTCACCCGCCAATGTTTCGGTGCTGCTGGGTTGTCTGCATCGGGATTGGAAGACTCAGAGCATGAGCGGTGATGTGGGGAAAATAAGTCAGCCTGAGAGTTGGTGTTGGTGTTGATGTTGGTGTTGGTTGCAACAGTTTGGTTTGATGTTCCTAAACTAGGTACACCAATGTCATTTTGATTTTCAACCAGCAGCTCCCATTGCCTTCTACAGTCAGGGCATCCTGCGATATGTTTCTTGACACCTCCCAATGTGGGCATCTCCTTGGTACAGAATCTGCAGTGAGGCATGGTGAGTGTTTCAGAGGTTGCTTTCTAACTTCACATCATTTTTTTTATGGTAATTTTTTTTAAAATGCAGGCCCTGCCCTGGTTGCTGCACCACACTACACTGTGCCTGCCACACTAACTACACTAGTCTAGATATACCATGGGCAGCAAGAGCTAACTCTTGAAGTTGCGCCCATTTGGCCTCCTCACAACACCTCACTTCTACCTCCCAGCGCTCTATGATGAGTCTGCACAAGTTTGTTTGCCTAATGGTAAGAGCCGGACCCAGTGCTATTTCTAAGAGCTGTGCATTTTTTGCATGCTCGCAACCCTTCACTTCCGCCTCTCAATGCTCCAAAATAAGTCTTTGCAAGTAGGACTGAGGAACCATGACAGGGCCGGGTGTTTGGTGAAATGGTGGAGGAAGCGGATACATAGGCTCATTGAGCTTTGGCCTGCAAGCCGGTGAGTATTGGGGCTGTGATGAAGACATGCAGCTAACCTTTTGACAATAACATTTCCATTTTTACAGGTAGCTTTTTTGTTGCCTATGGCTGGTGACACAGGACTATACAATTTGTCAGGTGAGTGTTTGATGCAGACTCCATACTGCTTGTTGACCAAGATATCCATGGTAGGGAAAATGTTGCAATATAGTAATGGTACACCCACTGCTTTTTATCATTTCCCGTCTGTTGATCACTGAACTTTACAAGCCCTGAAATCAACAAAAAAAATTCAAGGTTTAGATGTCAGTTGTTTATGTCTTTCATAGCGCTATAAAATGCACTGAACCATGCCTAATGTTCTCTTGTGCTCAGACAACCATGGCTACCAGTCACAAGGTCGCCTTCAAGCACACAAAATCCAGGGACACACAACCAGCACAACCAGCACAACCACCTGTGTGTACCACAAGTGATTGACAGTGATGGCCGACCAAAAAGAAAATTACCATGGTAAGTCCTGACAATATTGTGCGAGAACGTCTCACTCACTAGTGACTCTACAGTCTCTGAGTCTCAGCATGTTACCCATCGCCAAGAAAACAAGGAAAAGAAGTTAGAGAAACAGAAGAAAAAAACACTGAAGGCTGCTTACCAGGTTGATCCCAATGACTTCGAGCAAGAGCCATCCGAGCTGCATAGCAACATTGATAGGGAAGAAGAAACTATGGTTTGATCACCCATTTTCTTTTCCGCAACTTAGAATAATCACTGACAAGATATTTATTTAGTTCTCAGATCACAATATGCCATCCAAGCTGTCCCAGCCTAAACCCAAGGTCCTGACATTCAGTGCTGGGAAAATCCCCCCAACGTTGCACGACGCCAGTGCCACCTGCAAGGCTACTACCACAGGTATGTGTCTACTCTGTTGATTCTATACTAAGACTGATCCGCCTCTGCTACTATCAAGCAGCTCCAACTCCGAGTCCATGTGATGACTCAGATGAGTCAACAGACTGTGACTCTGAGTCTCAACCTGAAGCTCAGGTTGACCACACTGATGAAGAGGACAATAACAACATCACTGAAGAACTATCACCAGTAGCTCGAGGGACCAAGTGACCACTTGATGTGACTTCGAATGATGCCATGGTACTGCCGAAGATTAAGAAAAATTCCAATGGTTCATGCCAACACATGAAAGCCAGCAACTTTGATGATGTCTCCAAAGAGATTCTTGTGATGGCGACTTCTATTTTCCGGTGTTTGATTGTCGCCCAGGCGCCATTTCCCGATAACGTTGCTGTCGAGACAAAATTGGCAAAAGCAGCCTGGCATGAGGCATGTCAAATCAAAGGCATCAATGTCAAACTGACGCCTTCAGGGGTCAAAATGGTGAGTCATTTGTTCTCCATGTGTTCTTCATCTGATTTATATCATACTTTGTGAAGCTATTGACCTGCACATCACAAGTTTGTGGGGAACTCGAAATGAAAATGCGTTCACTGACTGCGTCTTTTTTTGGTTTCCAGACAAGCCATTCCAACAGTGTGATAAGACAGAATGGGGATCTAGCAGAGTCTTTGAAAGATGGTTCTGTGTTTGCTTTCAAGGTACACATTTTGATGATCTATGTGGTGTTTCAAGTCCTCACTCCTTGGACTAATAGGATTGGGAGTCGAAGAAGGGAATCTACAAGACAGAGTTACTGCAACTGGGTATCAACATCATGTGGTTTGTGAATTGACACGACGAAGGTGTTGTATACCATAAATACTTTAATCCTATGCCCATCGAAGTTATTGCTCTTGTGCTTACAACTGTGAGTCTCTTATTCTTACATTCAAGTTGATGATGCTGATGAATCACTGGTAGATTGAATGTTGTATTGACAAATGGTTACAAGGTCTGAAGGAGGATGTTTAATTCATGTCAGCTACTTATGGAACTGTCTACCATGGTCATTTCGGCTCATTGCAGCACTTCAATGAGCACACTGCACCTTATAAACTCCTCAAAAGAATTCACACCAATCTGCACGACATGGCTCAGTGCATTGAACAGTGTCCTTTTTGAAAATAATATTCTAACATTCGTGCTTTGAAGTTTCCATGCAGGTGTCGACACCCTTACTATCTCGTCATCTGCATCCCGGATCAGTGACATGGTGTTTGAAGATGCCATCCAAGAGTATTGACTTGAGGAGCAGGATGATGTGGAGCCTAGCAAGTTGTAAGATATGTTGACTTGTTGATTAGTAGGCATTCAAATTCAATTGTTTTCATGATTCTGTGTGCTACTACTGGTACTATGTGATACTATATAGTTGCTGGAAGCTGGCAGTAGTAGCGCTACATGAACTATGTAGTGCTATATAGCTCCCTGTAGCAGAACTCCAAGGAACTACAGTGTACTACTGTAGTACATGGTAGCGCTACCCCAATTCTACATAGCACTATATAGTACTATATAGAAGGGACTTGACTACCGAGCTACACGGTCTACCCTGGCTATATAGTACTATATAGTGACCAGGCTTTTTCCTGATGGTGGGTTTGGCCAGTGTCATTGTCAAAAAAACTGGAAAATAATCTCCACCAGCAGAGGATGGTGATTGCTCAGCATGTGCATCATGCTGAGAGCGCCCGGAGCGCGTGTCACAATGGACAAAGGGATAGACCTGGGGTAGACCCACACGTGAAAGCTCAAACATATCGACCAATTAGACTTGTGTAAAGGAAAATTAAACTCGACATCTTTCAACTTTTGGCAGAAAAATGGTTTAACTCTGGCCCTAAACATGTTTGTCATGTCTGTTTGTAGTGTTTGTTTCGCATGGTTCTGAACACCTGTTTCTAATTATTCCATCTGTGCACATTGATCTGATTTCTTAGAGTCTGTTCGGATACAAATATTTTGCACAACTAAGATGCAAATTTGAAAACTTGAGTTGCTTTGTCATCATCGGCCCTTGAATATCTGATGTCACACTGATATCGGATATCATATGTATTGATAACACAATAACATGCACCCTACAGCCTTTGTGCACCCATGATGTCATTCAACGAGCACGACCCCGACTTTGACCCGCCAGAATACGATGATACTACTACAGTTAATGAAAATAATAATGATCTCAAAGGCACCACCATAGTCGACACTGATGAGCTGGATGTACTCCAGCTGAAGTGGATACAGAAAATGCTTCTTGGTGCTAATTTTATGACTAACATCATGCTCGACACTGCTACCCAGACCCTTGACTCTTGCTCTGATACTTCTTTAACAAGCAACCTTACCATACTTCCACTTTGTCAGGGCTGGGATGGGTCAATGAATTACTTACCGGACATCCTGATTGTATACATTGTGAACTGGGAGTATGGTGGCATGTATTCTACGTTCTCTTAAACTTACTTTGTGATTCTGGATGCAAAGATTCCAAATATGTCCAGCTGGAGGAGCAGCTCACCATATTCCTGTACACAAGTGTCACAGGTCTCTCTATGCACCACATTGGTGAGTGCTTTCAACATTCCAATGATACCATATCAAAGTGTGACATTCCCTCATTTTTATTGATAGACATGCTAATTTTTATCAAGATATTATAATTGGATTCTCAATGCATTCACCTCCCCCCCCCCCCCCCCCACATATCCCTTATACATCCATTTGCACAATGCAGACAATCCCACACCTCTGGAAATTCTCCAGAGCTGAAATTTTACCCCTATTTTGCCAATGCCATTGGTGCTATCGATGGCACTCATATCACATGCCATCCCTCTGCCAAAGAGCATTGTGGTGTTCAAACTCGGGCTAGCCTCACAGAACCCCTTTTTGCTACAGAGGTCAAGCATCCTAGAAGTCCACATCATATCCATATATCATTTCCTTGCAAAAGCCTCAACTCACTCGACTCTTCCATGTTGCACCGGACTATGTCTGACTTGGCCGATACGGACCCATTGCCTCGGCCACTCACAGGAAGCCAGGGTTGTCTGTACCGTCCCTTACTTGTCGTTTCGGCCATCGCGCACCTTGGCCGACCATTCCGTCCTGTCAGTACTGAATCCTCCCATGTCCTGCCCATGTCCGCCTATCTCCATTGGTGTGTTTTAAGCTTATTTTACTGTTACTGAATGAACAGCAGGTGTTATTACATGTATTCCCACGGCCGCAGCACTCACAAGCCTTATTACATACTGACCCGAATACCCTGTGTTCCACTACTATTCTCGCCTGTGCGATTCCAGACATTCACGCAGTTAGATAAATAGGACTCAAGTTTCGTATTATCTCTTACTTTCCTTCTCCGGACATACCTGCTACCGTTGTAGGAGTCACCTTAGTTAGTCTTGATTGCGCAATTGATCCCTTTCTTGCTTTTCATCTCAAATGTGCCTTAACCGCTCTAAGTGCGCGCTCTCTAAGGTTTCTATACCTAGGCCTTGTCTAGACTCGGCAACCCATACCTAGTTATACCTAGACTCTCTTTACCTCAGCCTAGCCTTACCTGCTGCTCCCATTGGCATCAGACTCCTCTATTCGCATCGGTGTTTCTCATCGGTATCCCACATCACATCGGACATCCTTGGACTTGGACCTTCGGTCAGTTGGAACATCTCAGGTCTCAGATCTTAACTCCTTCCCTTCTCTTCCCTCACACTTTTAGAAGGAAGTGCTTCAATAGCAGTCCCCTTGGGTCGACGTACTGCACTCACACCCATTAGGATTTAGTAGGTTTGTTGGGATAGCTAGCTGACTACTATTTCTTTCACCACAGCGTGATTAGAGTTTTAAAGTCCAGTTGCTGGACCAAAAAAAGACTGCACTCAACCAGACCAGGACTTTTGAAAACCGGTTGTGACAATCATATTGGCGCTAGCATGTATACCTGCATAAGCCTTCAATATAGGTGGACCAAAGTTATCCCTCATATCATTCACTACTCCCCCTATCAGCAGTCTTCACTTGTCTCAGCCATAAACCCTTGTCCGATGCTATTCTGCACTTTCCGCACTATGCGCGCACATTCCCCGCACTATGCGCGCACATTCCCGCACTATGCACGCACATTCCCGCACTATGCACGCACATTCCTGCAGCGCTATTCATGCTCCCACAACTTATCCGACGATATTCCCGCGCTTATAGCACTATCAGAACTACAGCAATGTGTCTATAGGAGCATTAGTGCATGTCCACTCATCTAGCGCTTGTTCCTGCGCCTAGCGCTAGTCCAGCGTGCTGTTCTCACGCTCTAGGAACACCGACCATGTCGGAATCCATCCATGGTCCATCCTACCTCATTGGTATGTAATTTGCCTGCTGAGTTTGTAAAAAGTGCTACAGTCTTATTACATGTATATCCTATCCTTCTGAGTCCAAGATGGTATAGTTTACTAGTATAAGAAGCCTATGGTGACTACTTCGACATTACTTCCCTTCTACTGTATTTCATTCCCTTAGGTTTTACTTAGAAGTAGTCACCCTTTAGTTGCGCTCTATGGCCCCTATTTGACTTTCCTTACCCTTGATCTCACTCGCTATCCATTACCTTCCTTTGACTCAGTGTCCGCTTTCTTGACTTCCGCTCTTTCCTGCGCATTAGCGCTCTATCTTGCGACGCGCTATTCCGCGCTTTAGCACTCTTTCGGCTCTTTTGATCTTGAGTTGTCCTTAGTAGCTTTTCCCTCGGGTCGAACATTCTTGCTTTATTGTTTGCAAGTATAGCAGCATAGGCAGAGCTTAGACATATACTGGCTTAGTACCTTTACAAGTGCCTAGTCAGGTTGTGTTTTTCACACCGGACCACGGTTGCAGTTGCTGGTTGCCTCATGTAGACAAGAAACACAAGACCAGTACAAGACTGGTTGCAACCAGTCTTTGTAGGACCGGTGTGACAATCATACCAACTGCTAGGCACGTATGAGTGTTACAGGCATATTTTGCCTTAGCTATAGGAATGGAGCTACATGCTAGTCTCCAGCACCATTGTTCCCAAGCTATCCGCCTTAGGATCGGTTTTCTCCCATAGCGCGCTATCCGGTCTGACGTCTAGGTACCCTGTCCTCCCATGTCCTGCCTATGTCCACCTACCTCTGCTGGTGCATTATTAGTCTTATTGTTGCTACTGATCAGTTTGCAGGTCTTATTACATGTATCCTTCTGTTCTGCAGCACTACATGTCTTATTACCTGTACACACATCATGCTCTCGCCTGCATCGCTACTATTCTTGCCTATGCACTCCGAACACTTACGCAGTATGATAAAATGGCTCATCATACATACAGTATCTCACTTCCCTTCCCCAGACCTTTGCTGGTGTGTGTCGGAGTCACCTTAGTTGCTATATCTCAGTCCTTTGTGCAATCGACTCTGTTCTTGCTCATCCTCTCTGATCGCGTGTCACTTGACTTGCTTTAAGTGCATGCCGCTAAAGGTTCTCATAGTTCGACCTTCATGAAGTCGGAATTGCTACTGGTAGTTCAGACTATACTTAGTCTGCTACAGGCATTCCACTTGCGCGGTCTTACCTTACCTCTGCTTTTCCTTCCCCGAATTCTTCCCGCTATCGCTAGTCGCACTGTTCGCATAGCACAGTCACATAAACATACCTTACACAGCGTATCTCACTTATACGCACGTTTCACTCTGTCGGAACTTCATAGTCGCTGATTGTTATAGTGCTACTCACAAGTTCTTAGTCTTAGGTCGTCATAGGTTTTAAGCCCTTTGCACTATCGCTCCCCTTGCTTATTTGAAGGGAGTTGCTTCATTAGCAGTCCTCTTGGGTCGAATTCTACACTTGCACCTATTTGGATAAGTAGTGCTAGTTCCTAACGGCCTAGTCGCTATTTCTCTTTCACACCGGTTACCCTATCATAGTCAAAGCATGATATACATAAAGCTATTGTAGTAGTACAATGACACAATGAAAATTAGGCACTTGCGACAACTTGAACAATCTCATCCTTGCTATGTTCCCAGTCTGAAATCTCATTGTCGAGTCGCAGTAGCTCCCTGAATTCCTCAAGCATGACCTCTTCCACAATTGCAGAATTCTCAGCAGCTTGGTCAACTATAGCTGTATGCCATGCAAATTTCAGTACCTGTAATTGTTCAAAGCGTTCAGCACTTAGACGAGAACGTCGGTCAGTTGCTGTCTCACCACCAGCCGAGAAGAGATGTTCGCAAGGCACAGAGGATGCTGCAATGGCGCACACATCCTTCGCAATGCTAGCAAGGACTGGGTAGACAGTGACATGTTTCTAAAATTCTAAGTCAGTGAAAATTACAGTAGGCATCTAGGCGACTTACTGACCACCATTCAATAATGTCAGTATCTCTAGAGACATCATCTGGTATATCTTTAAGGTAGCATTGAAGTTCTGCATGCCACCCAGCGTTGTGCTCACGTGATGCCTGGTCTACTAACGTGCGGCGGTGGTGGTCATAGTTGGATTCAACAGTAGGAGCACCCGAGTCCATATATGAGGGGATGGGAGTGATGGCGGCAGGTGGAGAACTGTGCTTTGAGTACTCCTCCATAATATTCTCAACTGCCTTCAATGCTTCATCATGCCAATCAACAGTGTTTGGATTGCCAGCTGCATATTCGTTTTCCTGTTCTTCTGGACCACCCCACTGCATCTTGATATAAGTTAACTTATAGTAAGGATGGAGTACTGTAACAATGATCATCAGCGAACAGTAGCAAGGACATTAAGTAGGAATATAATTGCTTACTGAGCACAAGGACATAAACTGGTTTGTCGTCAAACTTCTGATAGTACTTTCCAAGTTTATCAAGCCCTTTTTGAATCGCGTCCTTGTACAGGATATACTTTGATGTTGTAAGCTTTGCTTCCCATGTGGTCTGAAGTTCTTCTATGGCAGGAATGCTGCACCAAAGAGTAGGTTGCTGTTCCGATGAGAAGTACTGTTGAATACTGTTGGCATCCTGCTATGCGGTGAGCAAATATACTTCATGTGAGTATACTATCAGTGCAACATACTGTGATGATAGTGCGTGTGTCATTTACGCGCTCCCAATCAGCCAATGTGAATTTGAAGGCTGTCCATGGTATGTACTTGACAGTCCTGCCTTGAAGGCAAATGGTGGTGATTGGCCTGAAAAGTGCATCAGCCATGCCAATAAACATGTCAATAGGCTATATACAGTAGACGGTTGATTAGTATTTTTTTTAAATGCCATGCTAGAACACGTACCTGCCGGAGCGTGTATGCTCATCCAAGCATCCCATCTGCTGTCCCCCACCTAATGTTGCTATGTAGAGGAATCGTGAGTGGGACCAAAAAACCACATTTTACTTGAAGACTGTTGAAATATTCAATACACTGTCCCGAGGATTGAATCTTCAATAGATCAGTTAGTAGAGCGCCAACAAGTGCATATTAGTAGTACTAGTACCTTGATAGCAATTGTCCACACAGCTGCAACAACATCCAATTCATTAGTGAGTACACAATTGTGAGCTAGGCTTGGGTCGAACTCCCAGATTGATGTGGCATTCTTGACATTGGCAAGCTGGGTGAAGCCAGACATGACAGCAACTACAGCAAGATTGATGATGTGGGTGAGACATGGAAGGTGGTGTCGAGTTGTGTTGAATGAGTAGATTTTGTGGTGATGGAGGATGCTTTCAATCCGCTCACATGCAGTATCGTTATGGCTTGTGTTGTCTGCTGTGACGCAAATAGCTGTAAAATGTATGTTAGTATGAAGAGAAATAGTAGTGGATTCACGTACCTTTGAGGATTGTCCAGCAATGATGCCTGCCCGCTCACACAAGCTAACAAAATAGCGTCCAAGATTATCTCCAGTGTGGGCGCCAGATATTCCTTTGAATGCGATGACTTGGAAATGAAGTGTCCATTTTCCAGACTCCGGGTCAGTATGAATCCAATGAGCAGTAAGACCAAAGAACACTGCTTTTGTTTGATCAACAGACCAAAGATCTGTGGTAGTTGACACACAGCCAATGTCTAGTTTCTTCATATATGATAGTCAGCTTCAGCCAGTGTAGTGTGGCACTGCCCACAGATACAAATGATCCTTACCTGCATATCCAGCTTGAACTTCGAAAAGAACTTCACAAAGGAATTGTGTATGTAGTTGGTGACATTGTGCGTTGAGGGAATATCAACCTTGGTGGCAGCCGGCCACATTGTGACCAAACAGTTTCTAAAACTGACTTTGTTGACTACAGCTAGAGACTTTGGGTGGTTATTAGATAATGGTCGGTCAACTTGAAACATATAGTATTTCTCACTCACTTGGTCATCACATACGACAAACTCTGCAACAGCACGCAGAACTTCATCTTTTGAGAACTCCTGGGGTATTCTTGCGCCCTGGAACATTATATCCAATTTCTTCTGTCCACCTTTCATTTGTTTCTTTTCCTCTTGCGCTGCATGGACGAATGCACATGGAATGGCATGGTAGTTTTCATGAATTTTCAGCGCCATACACTTCTCTTTATACACTGCATAGTGCCCCCGAATGTGCTGCCAACATGAGGAGTTGCTACCTACATGGAATGTCTTGCAGTGGCCATGTTTTGCAACAAACTTCATATCCACCCTTTGAATTCCAGGTAAGTTTCAATTGATCTTGGTGATGGTGATTGCTTACTTGCATATCAAACACCAGCGGCCCACTTTCATTTCTACCTCCCCTGTTGCGCTCACGAACTTTACAGTACATCGTTCCGAGAAAATAGTAAGTAGATCATCGGCGCTATTCTTTATTTTGATTTCATCTGGTGCTATGCTAGTATGATCATGTTCTGAGTCACCAGCATCGTCATTCTGCAACATTTAGACACTTAGATGCTTCCCAGGAAATGAAGGGACAAATTGACTAACATCTTCACCATCCACATTACTACCCTGGCCCGCCTCCGAGTGTCAATGACATCTGGTTTCTTCGGCTTCCTTATCATCTGTGGTGCTATCTTCAAGTTCAACCACCTCAATGCACTTGCTTTTGTGATGTGCTCGGTTGGACTTGGATGCAGCCTTTTTTCCCAATGTACGTGCAGCAGCAACAATGCTATCATCTGAGTCATCTACTAAGTCATCATCACTAGAGACAGCAAGTTTCCGCTTTTTAGATTTCTTTGGTGATCTTGGTGTCTGTGTTTGAGTCTTGGTGATGCAGAGCTGTGCAGCACCTTTTTCAGTGGGTTTCTTTTGATGGGTGGATATGCGAGTGCCTGACATGGTTGGGGGGAGACAAGAGATGCGTAGTAGACAATGCTGACTTCTTATACATTCAAGGCAGCTGTAGTACACAAGGTGCACATGAGGCTTAGTACATACATTAGGAAAAACCTCCCTCTCTAGTTAGAACAAGTTTTCACAAATTTTCAAAAGTTTCGCTAATTAGATAGATTTGACGGCTAGGAGAATTTAATTGGTGCCCTGCTAATTAGCACTAATTCCTGTGATCCTAGATGTAATTATTGAAAGTCTTGTAGTATCCTTTGATTATGTAGACACAATTTTCAGACTTAATGGCACACATAATGTTCAAATCAATTAGTTTTCAATTGCAACCATGGGTATCAGCACGAGCACAGTAAGATATAAGCTAACTAAAGATGTAAGGAACGAGCATAGTTCAGATGTTATATGAAATAATAAAATGAGTCGTATTGGCCTCGAAAGTCTGACTTGCCACCCGGTTGTCTGACTACTCATCATCCATGCCATCAATGTCCAGGAACATGAGGCTAACATCCTGGGCATAACCTCCAGGAGTGTCTAGGTGGAGGGACCTAGATGATGATCAGCAACACTGCTATCAATGCTTACAATGACTTACTGGACTTCCTGGTATATGTCTGACATCATCTTGTGAAACTTGATGGGTGCCGTCTCTCGAAGTCGTTTCCAACACTGAGACATGGTAGTTGTAGTTATCGCAAAATTGATTGCCGGTAAATTTGAATTCTTCACTAGACTTGTTTCTTCCTGACAAGAAGAGCTGCACAGATCTAGCAAGTCGAAACCGTTAATGGTTGAACGAGTGCAAGAAATCAAATTTACCGCAGTGCAGACAATAGCTAACATGGAAATGGGGGATCTCGGGGTGATGTGCCTTATTCTTTGCAATATCGAGGAACCGCTGAGGAAATTGAGAGCCAACGGACTTCATATTTTTGAAAAACATCTCATAGAGGATGATAAAGATAGGATCTACTTGATATGGCTTCCTGCGAACCGGGGATGGGAGCCCTTGCGCCTTAATAATGTTTAGCGTCAGTATGTCAAAGTGTGCTAAAGATGAGAACAAACATTGAAAGTTTGCAGGAAAATGTATAGATGATCCGGAAGAAGGTGCTCAAGGATAGCACTGGACTTGGGCCGGAGCTGAAAGTAGCCTGCAATGTTCTTGAAAGCCATCTCCTTGATATCCCCGCGAAAGAGACTGGCATGAGCATCAATCTATAACAAAACCAGAGTTAACATCCATAATGGCATGGTGAAGAAAACACATACTAGACCCACAAGTGCACCTAAGTACTCCTTGTCTGTGCGCATACATTTCTCGATTGGTTCTGTCTTGAGATATTGAGTGGTGTTGATAAGTATCTCTTGCGCATATGTATTCTTGGCGATGACTTCAGGGTAACCGTGGCTGAAGGCAATGTATGCCTTCAGCTCAAGAATGCTGCGTTGAATGACCCTACGAAGGTCAACATTCTGATCAGTAAGACGTACTGACCCAGTCTTGGTGTAAACAAGACGAGCCATGGGATCATGATAGCCTTCCTTGGATTGTGCATTGGCACTAATGCGGGCACTGCCTTGAATATCTTCGGTGTTCTCCTCCTTCACAGGTACGTCACTCTCGTCAGCAAATGGCGAGTCCGCTAGGATCAATGATGAATTGAACTCTGATATAGTTGAGGCTGACTCGTTCCACCTGGGGGTCTGACAAATAAAAAATTGTGTCTGAGTCTTAGTAGATTGATAGAAATATTTCTGCTTACCTCCATGGCACACTTTTTCTCTCTGGCGCTTGTAACCTTGACCAAGTATTGAGGCTTGTCAGCTGCTTCAAATTGCAAGGAAGTACTTGGCACCTTTGATGAAACCGCCTTTGTTTGTTTATTCTTATGGCGGACTGAATGTACAATCAAAGGAACCTTTGAACAGTAATGAGACCCTCCTGGCACTCCTCATACTTATTCAAAGGTTTGACTCACCTCTTCAAACAGAGCCTGAGTGACAGACTCTTCCGGCTCCAATAGGTCCGATTCTTTGCTTCCACTGGATACCATGTTGCTGGCATCTGAGTCGCTGTCACCGTCTGATTCAGAGTCCTCTAGTAGTTTGGATGTCTTCAAGTCGTGAACTACAAAAATTGATACTTGGTATGAATCAAAAAAAAAAAAGTGAGAATACCACTCTCTAGTACCTTTCTCATACTGTTGACGGAATAGTCGAGGAGGCGGCTTGTGTCATATACCATATATCCGGTTACAGATCCGATGATCTGGATCTCAGATCCGATCCAGATCCGATGAACATACCCATCGTCCGGTCCACAGATCCGCTTTGATTCTTATTTCATTTCCTGTTCATATAACTCTAACTATCGTTCATCTCCTTTCGGTATTCCTGTACACCGGTATACCGGTTATCCTTTACTTCCGCTTTGCTTACTGATCCGCTATGCTTACTGATCCGCTACACTTACAAATCCGCTTTTACTTGTACTTCATTCCCGGTTCATGATTCGTGATCCATCCAACTTACCAATACACTCCGCTTAGACTTTGCTTATACTTTCGTACATAGCCTCGCACCTTTGCTTATTGATCATTCCGTTAGCTATCCGTAGTATATAAACCTTTGTATATGCGCTGTAGTAGATCAGTTTGAATATCATCTTAGATTGCACTCATTCCGTCTGGACTCTGAGTCCCTCCGTTATCCATCCGGACTTGAGTACGCTACTCTTGTCTACTCCGAGACTTAGGATAGATTCCTATAGTCTACATATCCGCCTCTGTCTTCGGACAGTCCTCACCCGTTAGTTTCTAGTCTGGATCCGATCCGGATTGGCCGTTACTCTATACACGCGATACTTTAGCTCTCTGAAATAAGGGGCAAGACTCGGGAAAGGGGCACAGCGCACGAGCTGAGGCCGAAGCCCTTCGGATCCGATACTACTTGAGTACGGTCTTAACAGTATATTCAAACTCATACCTTTCCGAGTTACTTAACATCTATCATGCCTCCTACCAAGACACAAACAACTCTGCACGCGGTCGGACTAACCTCCCTCCGTCGTGATCCGACACCTATAGTCAACACCTTCACCAGTTTCTCTCAGCGCCGTGTTAGCACCCACGGAACCGCTCAAACCATATCCGAACTCCTTAATCGTCGACACCCGGAAACCCCAACACGCACTCCTGCCGTAGGACCTCCGGACGATGATGATCCCGATGATGGTGATGATGATTTCCCTGGTAATCCACCCGATGATAACGGTGGTGATCCGGATGATTGATCCGGATGTTGAGGATGATGAAAATGACGGCCTAAACCCACAAGACCGCGTTATGCTTCGACTCTCAGAAGCCATCGATAACCTTGCTCGCAATAATCGTCGCGCGCCCGCATCCGAAGATTCTAGAGTCAAGGTCCGAGAACCGGATACCTTCGACGGAACCGAACCACGGAAGCTCCGTGCGTTCTTTGTCCAGTGTGAGCTTAACTTCCAGAGCAAGCCTAAGGCTTTCCGTACCGGAAGGGCTAAAGTCAACTTCGCCCAATCCTACCTTAAGGGTATGGCCCTTGAATGGTTTGAACCGGATCTCCTGTCCGATGATTCGGACGATCATCCGGATTGGATGGATGACTATTCCGTGTTCATGCTTGAACTCCAAGCCAACTTCGGGCCTCATGACCCATCCGGTGATGCAGAAATGCAGCTCGAACAGCTCCACATGCGCAATGGACAGCGCATCAACAAGTACGTTGTGGAATTCCAGCGTCTTGCTTCACAGGTTCGTGGCTGGGGCGACGGAGCCTTACGACGCCAATTCTACAACAGACTCCCGGCCCGTATCAAGGATGAAATCAGTCGCATGGGTAAACCCTCTACTCTTTCCGAATACAAAGTCCTCGCTCAGACTATCGACGCCCGATACTGGGAACGGAAGGGAGAGATCTCTCGAGAAGCTAAACCCACTTCATCCACTACCCCTAAGCAATCCGCTTCTGACCGGACGAACTCCAATATGTCCGGATCCGGAAATCACAAATCCGGAAACTCCAAGGATCAGAAGTCTACAAAGCCATCCGCGTCGTCGAACTCGTCCGCTCCTAAGGTTCCGGATCTTACTTCCAAGCTGGGTAAGGACGGAAAGTTAACGTCCGAAGAGCGGCAGAGAAGGATGGACAAGAAACTCTGCTTATTCTGTGGTGGACCCAGCCATACAGCTCGGGAGTGCACCAAGTCTACTTCGCGTGCTGCCAAAGGCCGCGCTGCAGTAGTTGCTCCGGAAGTCAAACCGGATGTCTCTACTGAGACAAAAAAATAGTCCGCGACTCTCCTAGCTCCGTGCAGGAAGAGGGTCGCATTGACTCTGCCTGCACAAAGGAGTTAAGACTCAACGCTGTCGCGCTCTCGGATCCGACTTCCCTCTGTCCATATGTTTCACTTCCGTTACTTCCATCCGTATCCGAATTTCCAGCTCTTGTAGATTGTGGTTCTTCTCATTGTTTCATAGATACTGCGTTCATCCGAAAACATAAAATCCCTACATATCCGATACCTACGATTCCGCTCCGCTTGTTTGATGGTACTTGTAATAATACTATTTCCGAAGCTATAGATTTGTCCGTCCGCTTTCCGTCCGGTGTAGTCACCTCTGATACGTTCTACGTTACCCCTTTGGATTCATCTTGTTTTATCGTTCTTGGATATAGCTGGCTCACCCGACACAATCCGTTGATTGACTGGGTTTTGGGCAGCATTGACTTCCGGACGACATCTCATGGAATGCCATCGACCCCTCCGACGTCACTTCCGTCCTCGGATATCCCTCCTCCGACGGAAACCATACCTCCTCCGACTACATCCGTACCCTCCGCTGATAACACTGTTCCTAATATATCCCTAATCAATGCAGTTGCCTTTTGCCGGGCCTGCAAGTTAGAAGGATCGGTCCAGTTCAGTATATACCTTCGACCATCCGGTGTCGATCTCCGATCCGCTTCTCTATCGTCCGATCCTCCGGATCTATCCCAAATTCCTTCGGACTATCACGAGTTTGCGGATGTCTTCGACAAGGGAAAGGCTGGTCAGCTTCCTCCACATCGTCCTTATGATCTGAACATAGATCTGGAAGAAGGAACTAGTCTTCCCCTCGGAACTATCTATTCGCTATCCCCGGTCGAGCTTGCAGCCCTCCGGAAGTTTCTTGATGAAAATATTGCCTCTGGACTCCTCCGCTCCTCATCCTCTCCCTCACGGAGCTCCGGTCCTATTTGTCAAGAAAAAGGACGGATCCCTCCGCCTTTGTGTGGATTTCCGTGGACTCAACCAGATCACTAAGAAAGACCGATATCCATTACCCCTCATTGCCGACCTATTAGACTCTCCGAGCCGTGCTAAAGTTTTATACCAAAATCGACCTCCGATCCGCTTATCATCTCGTCCGGATAGCGGAAGGGGACGAATGGAAGACTGCCTTCCGAACGCGCTATGGCTCCTATGAATGGTTGGTGATGCCGGAAGGTCTCACTAACGCTCCAGCAGCATTCCAGCGCTTTGTCAATAGCGTGTTTGCTGATATGCTGGATGTATGCGTTATCGTATATCTGGACGACATCCTCATCTATTCCCATGACCTTGCGTCCCACAAGCAACACGTCCGAGAAGTACTCCGTCGACTCCGTAAACATCGTCTCTATGCCAAACCCGAAAAATGCGAATTCCATTCCACTTCCGTTGAATATCTCGGATATCTCCTATCTCCGGACGGCTTAACTATGTCGTCCGATAAGATCCAAGCTATTACTGACTGGCCGGAACCTCGGAAAGTCAAGGATATCCAATCCTTCCTCGGATTCGCAAATTTCTATAGACGGTTTATATTCAACTACTCGGATATCGTGGTTCCGTTAACACGGCTTACACGCAAGGATGCTCCGTGGAACTTTTCCGATGAATGTCGGAAATCCTTCGAAGAACTCAAGAAAGCCTTCACTACGGCTCCGGTGCTTACGCACTGGATGCCGGATGTTCCTATAGTTGTGGAAACCGATGCCTCTGACTACACTATAGCTGGAATACTATCCATAGTATGTCCGGACTCAGAGCTTCGTCCGGTAGCGTTCTACTCTCGAACGCTAACCGCTCCGGAACTTAACTATGACACCCACGATAAGGAACTTTTAGCTATATACGAAGCTTTCCGGACCTGGCGACATTATCTAGAAGGCTCGGCCGAGCCTGTAGATGTTGTCACGGACCACAAAAACCTTGAGTACTTCGCCACTACCAAACTCCTCTCTCGCCGTCAGGCCCGCTGGTCGGAATTCCTCCATCAGTTCAATCTTGTCATCCGCTTCCGTCCCGGAAAACTCGGAGTTAAACCGGATTCCCTTACTAGACGCTGGGACGTCTATCCCAAAGAGGGGGATAAGGACTACGCTCGAGTTAACCCTCATAACTTCTGTCCGGTATTCACGTCCGAACAGTTAGCTTCGTCCCTACGAGCCTCAACCTTAGCAACTCCGGTTCTTAGAGCAGCTGTTCTAATGGATATTGATGACCTTCGGAAAGACATCCTGACCGCACTTCCTAATGACCCTATTGCAAACCAACCATCTTCCGGTACCTTCAGATCCGAGATGGACAGTGGACGATAGGGGTTTCCTCCGTTGCGACAACCGTATATATGTCCCAGAATCCGATAACCTTCGACTTCGCGTCCTCCGTAATACTCATGATCACCCCTTATCCGGACATTTTGGTCAAAACCGAACCCTAGACCTCATCCGACGCGAGTATACATGGCCGGGTATACGCACCTATGTTAAGGACTACGTCCGGTCCTGCACTACCTGCGCCCGAGCCAAGGTTCCGAGACATAAACCCTACGGATTGCTCAAGCAACTACCCATACCGGAAAAGCCTTGGAATTCCATATCCATGGATTTCATAGAGCAACTTCCGGACTCATCAGGCTTTACAGCCATCCTCGTTATCATAGATCGTTTATCCAAACAAGCAATATTTGTTCCGACTCACGATACCATT